TATATATATATATAATTATATTTATATGGTTGCTTCATTTACCCCTCTTCACAATCTATATCTGTAACAGAAAAAAGGGTATGTTTATCTACAACAGATGACCCTTGAGGGGAAAAAAAATGCTGAAGACAAAAGAAATCTATATTATTAGTAACTCCAGCCACAGGCGACGTCACGGAACAAACTCATTGCAAGAGAAAAAAACATTTCTAAATATCATTCAAGTTATCTCCTGACATTCAGCACCTTTCCACGACTGCGACTTGACGTATTCTCTCTTGTGCCAATTTTCCCATCATTCCATGCCACTGGACCCTGTTTTCTGGCCAGTGCTGTGTGTTTTTCCCCTCCAGGGGCGGAGCAAAGGCGGGGCTTGTGCTCCCAATATCATTCATCCCAAACCCATTTATCTTTCTTCTTGGGGAAAGGTTTTTATCGCCTGCCACAATCTGTTTGGGTTTGTTTGCCTTTTTCTTTCCAGTGACCAGCTGTTGGTTTCTCACATCAGTCGTTTTTTATCGAGTTGTCCTATGTGATGTTTATGACATTTTTGTAAAATCACCAATGACACCCTGCAGAGATCATTTTATTTTAAAGCAATTCCGTTGAGGCCGTAGCTCTTCGGGTAAAGTGGAAGAAAAACGGCACATTCTTTGAAAACTAGTCCTTTTCTGTGTTGTTATGGATGAACCCACCGTAGGAACACAAGACGTCGTAAAAACTGACAAGGGATGGAGTTTTAGGATTTGCAGCACTATTTAAACGCTGAGAATTCACCTTAAAGAGGACACAAAGGACCGATTTGTATCAGTTTTCATCCTAATTAAAGCAAAGCAAGTCAAAAAGGTACAACAATGTTTGTGTACGGGTACTTGCCATAGCCACCAGCCTGAATGGGCGTCTTGGGGGAAGCGCAGGCATACAGGCTGAAGTCCTCTGTCTGGAATCCAGCGCGGTTAAGGGACGGTTCAGAAGCGCTGCGGTGGATCTTGGGCAGAGAGTGTGCCAATAACTCAATAGAGGCCAGGATCTGCCATAAATAAATAATATATTAAAATAAATATGTTAACTATATACATTATATATAATATGTAATATATTTTAATATATATATTAAATGTTCTTCCCCCTGCTTTATTGAAAACATACCTTTTTGTGCCATCTTGTGGCAACATTCCTTAACATAAATCTGCATGGCCTTGACAAATGGCAGGCAAAATGGAGAAAGCAGACATTTGACAGGTGTTCACAAAATTACCTGAGGGAAAAGAGGTCTCTCCTCTCGCTTTTTCTTCAGACAATCTGCCATAAGTCTCTTCATGGCCTTGGGACAATTACTGCGCACTTTACTCAGGTCAGGAGCCAGGTATCCCCGTCCAACCATGAAGATAATCTGGATAAGGAAAGATATGCACAATCATTTCTGCAATATACAGATACTGGCAGTAATTTTTCAGGGTACAGATCTGATTTAAGTCATATACATACTTTTTACTAGTACATTACACATATAGTACATAAACATTCAAAACTGATGATAAAACAAAAAAAGCATAAGTAGTATTAATGTTTATGTACTTAATGAAATTTAGACAAAATTTGGCAGAACATGTCTCAAGCTGCATGTTCAAGGAGCAAAAAACAATCACTGGTTATAAATGTCCACCTAGTCATCATCTGAACTACTTAAAGTGATAGTTCACCCAAAATACACTGCAAAGAGGTTCACCTGGTCTCTGTTGTTGATGTTAGAATAAGGCAGAGCCCCTGACATGAGCTCATAGAGCACAATACCAAACGCGTAGACATCTGACTGGAAACTGTATGGGTTTTTATCCTGCAGTCTGATTACCTCTGGAGCCTGAAGCAGACCAATGAGTCAGTCGAGATGCAAATGTCAGTACAGAAGAAACACTCAAATATAGTTAAGACATGTTCCTTCACTCACCATCCACAAGATAGAGCCAGAAAGCTGCTCAAACTGGTGTGAGCCACTCCAGCGGGATTTCACTGTAGCCAGACCGAAATCACCAATCTTTACTGTTAGGTCCTCATGCAAAAAGATATCTAGGGAGGTGGTGTTAAGGCTAAGAGCATGTGGATGCACACGTGTATGAATACCTACCTAAAAAAAAAAAAACAATTTATTGATTTTTAATATTTCTAATAATAATCAATGTTTTACAAAGGATACTGTTACTCTTCAGATCTCTATGGATTATGGACTTGGCGTGCAGATAGCTGTGGGTAAAAATGATTTACAAGTGTTAAAATTCATGCATGATAACCTGAGCAATTGAGTATCATAATGGCAACAGGTTTCACGCTTTCTATTCAAGCCAGAAGACTAAATGGATTCTTTATTGTTACTAACATTACATTGCTATAGTAATTTTTCTCTAAAAACTTTTGAGTGTCTCTCACTCCATGCCCTGAGCTGTCTGACGGGCAATGTCAATCAGCTTGATCATCTCAAACTTGGTCTCGATGATGTGCAGGTGGTGGTAGAGACTCGAGCCTTCACACCACTGTGTAACTATAGCCAGCTGGGGTTTGGTGGTGTAGCCCATGAAGAGCAGGATATTCACATGGCGGGTTTTCCTGCGGGAGATAACGAATATTCAGTAAGCTTTGACAGAACAATGTTTTGGTAGAACATGAGACTTCACATTTAATGACACAAAATCAAAGGTTTATAAATAACAAGTGAACTGGGTAATTTTTTTTGTAAATATTTAAATACTAAGTTTCATTGCTTAATTTCAAAAATAATTGACAGGACACTATCAATTAACAAGGATAGAAAACTCTTAATACAATAAAGTCAGTGGTCAGTGAAAGGATGTGCTTAGCCCTTACGATGATACTCAATCTTAGGAGGTCAAATTAAATATTATATGAGATTTCATTGTATTATCTTATATTGTTTTATATTTAATTTAATGGTTTAATTGAATTATTTACATTTTTATAATTTAATATATAACACATTAAATTTTTATCAACCTTGTTACCAACAATTGGGATCTTTTAAACCTTTTTTTATTATTTTCTTCCAATAAAAATCAAATAAAATAAACAGTGAGGTCAAATTTAATATTATATGAGATTTGTTTTTATTATATTATATTTAATATTAATAGTTTAATTTATGTGTAATACTTTAATTACATTTTTGCAACCTGGTTACTAACAATGGGGATAGCTTAAAACCTTTTGGATTATTTTCTTCCAAAAAAAAAAAAAAAAAAAAATTATAAATTAGTACAAATGTATGAATTAACAAATGAAATATTATGATATTTTATTATTTAATGGTTGATTTTTGCAACCCTGTTGCAAATAATTGGGGTAATTTAAACCCCTTTAGATGATTTATTTTCCAATAAAAATTAAATCAATAAATATGTATAAAATAAAATAATAATAATAATAATAATAAACACTTAAAACAGCAATGGTATTAGGAATTTAAAAACAAAAAACTATACTGCTTAACCACTACCTAAAACCAACAGTTTGGACAGACACTATCTCCGTTTTGAAATCATGAGCAATTTTAGGCTTTATCTTACCTGAGGACACCCACTTCATTCTTAAAGGCCTGTAGCTGCTGTGGAGTGGGGGCTGTGACATTCAACATCTTTACCGCCACATCACCTATGAGGAAGAGGAAGACACACATTTAGCCTGTTCTGTAAATTCCTTTTTAATCTGAAGACCAAAACTCTTTAACAGGACCTACCGTGCCACTTCCCCTTGTAGACCGTTCCAAAAGAGCCAGATCCTATCCGCTGTCCCAGGGTGATCTGACCTTCTGGGATCTCCCAATCATCGCTTGAGTCCCGTCGACCCAGGGTTTTCTAAATATTAAGACAAAATAAACCTCAAAAACCATCTCGAATGACCTTTGACCTAGACTATAAGCGTCACGTTCAAGAGATCTTCACCATTTTATTGCGGTCCTCAGATGAAGACGATGGTTTCCGCTCTCTCGGTTGGCAGGGTGATTTCGACACCTTCACATTGGGCAGGGAACCAGGCAGGGAGGCAGGAGGTGTGGCCGACAGGCCTGTTGTGGAGCCTGGCATTACGACAAAATAAAGTTACTACAACTGGAAATATGGGAGCCAAAGAAGAGAGAGACAGAGTAAGAGGGGAAGGAGACAGAAGGAAAAGAATAAAATCTTAGAGAGTCACACAGGAGAGAGAAAGAGAGGAAAGGGTCACGTCACAGCCCACGCAGTCTGAAATAAAGGGCTGTGAGTGATGTATGCCTCTAATGAAGTATACTATCAAATCCTGAGCCACATCCCATCTCTTTCCCAATGGAAAAATCAAAAAGTACCCCCAAAAATGTGTCACATATATCTGTATGCAAAAGTACTGTAAGTAAGGATTAAAACTAATAATTCTGGTCTGTACCAGTGTGTTATTGTTAACTAAACTTAATAAAATTGTTTTTATTAAGTGAAATAAAATATAACTATTAGATGAAAATCGTGAACTTAAAAAAAAAAAAAAAAAAAATTATGAAAATTAGAAATGTTGCCTTGACAATTAACTGACATAAAATAAGTTTAAGTACTGCAGTTACTAAAACTGAATTAAAAAAAAAAAAAGTTAAATAGAAACACTAACGAAAATGACAAAAGCACATAAAATTACTACGTGTAAAAACTTAAACTGAAAATGACAATTAAAGCGAATTCAAAATATTAATAATACTCTAATATAAATATAAATAATATTTACATAATATAATTAGAAATGAGAAATAATCATAAAATAACACTGTCCGATACAATTAAGCCGATAATTTTTTTACGTTATGGTCAATAACTAATAAATAGCAACATTTAATACTATTTTGTCTAAACTAATAATAATAATAATAATAATTATTATTATTATGCAGGATGCAAGTGAATTCAGGCATCACAATATGAATGAGTATCTGTACATCTGAAATATCGGAGTGACATATGTGCCATTTTTTGCCTTAGTGAGTTTGTAGTGTACTGAGGAGTTGAGGAAAAGTGACTGCAGCCCATCAAACGTCAGTGAAAACGTGGCAAAGAAAGTGAGAATTTAAACAAGGAGGGGTGAAATATGTCAACAAAACACACAAGGTGGAAGACAAACACAGACAGACAGACAGACAAGCAAAAGACAAGACAATGTGTGGGACACAGCCACGCAAGAAGGCCTAGCTACCTCTGTATACTGGCTCAGGCTCAAAATCAAAGACAATGTCATTTGGGTGGGAGGACAGAAGGGGGCTTGAGGTCCGTGTTCGGTTCTTCCTCAAGCAGCGGGCTGGGTGTTGCGAGGGGGCTGCAGGGGGGAGAGAGACAGACACGGAATCACTGGCCCCCGAAGCTCAGGTGCACTCCCTGTCACCCACTACCAAAATCCTGTGTCTACTCTCAGAGGTTCTTTAGAGATGATCAAGTGAATTCTAGGTGACACAGAGCCAGTTTTTAATTATTTCTGTATACAGTCTGTTCACCCCAAAAATGAGAATTCTGTTATCATTTACTCGCCTTCGTGTCGTTCTAAACCTGTATCAAAAGAGCAACTCGAACATTCTTCTAAACATCTTCTTTTACGTTCCACAGAAAAAAGGAAGTCATACAGGTTTGGAACGACATCAGGGTGAGTAAATGACTGAATTTTAATTTTTTGGTGAACTGTCCCTATAAACTGTTCTGGGACATGTTTTGAAGAAGCAGTAAGGACGGGCGGGTTTTGAGAACACATATTAGAAATTAGTAGTTTACAGCAGGTCACTTGTGATAAAGAAAAGGGCTGAAGCAATTCAGAAAGCGGACAGGGAAGAGAAAGGCCTGTTTGTCAGCTTTTACTAGCAGGCAGAGTGAAATGGATCAGCTATCCCAAACTTCTAAGGCCAATGACACAGAGATAGCACAAAGACATGGGATGACGGAAAGCCATTTGAATTCAGTGTGTCTTAGTGTACGTTTTCTGATTCGAACAACACTTACCTCCATCTGACCTCGGTAAGCCTTGATCACGGATCAAATCCTGTACAGAAATAACACCGATTAGCAGGGACTAGGGGAGAGCAGTAACATGTTGTGCTTTTTGCTTACAGTGTACTACAAATGTACCTTTGGTTATTTTGGGTATAAAAAATTATATTAATAGACTTAAAATGAACAAGATGATATGGTTAAGGCCAACTGTAACACTTAAACAAATTTAGTAATACAATTTAAATAAATTATAATATAATGTATCTACAATAAAAGCACACTTCAAATTTGAGCAATATTAATATTTATTAGTATTACTAGATACTAATTTTTTAGATTCAGGAAGTGGTAAGTAAAGACATTTTTAAGTGGGACCTATAACATTAAAATGTATTAAATGCTTTTGACTAAAATATATTGATTAGCTGTTGAACTGTCCAGTTCTCACATCAATGTTGACTGGCTCGATGGTGTTGATATGGACGTTAGGGGCTGAGGAAGAGCGATCCCTCTGGCCAAACTGGTTGCGGTGGTCCTCCTCTCCAGGTCTAAAGGACTGTGGGATAGGGATGGATTTGGATGGGGACACAGTAGGATGGCACAGAGACCTGGAGAAAACAGACAATGAAATTCAGCCTACGTCATGATTAAAGCCACTTACACACTATAGTATATACTTAATGTGACCCTTACAATTTATCAATTAAAAGATACATATTTTATATAGATGTGTGTGTGTGTGTACACACTACCATTCAAAAGTTTGGGACCAGTAAGTGGTGTTTTTTTTGTTTTGTTTTGAAAGAAATAAAGAAATTAACATTTTTATTCAGCAAGGATGCACTAAATTGATCAAAATAAACAAAGACATTTATAATGTTACTAGTGTTAATTTTGTTAACGAAAACTATGACGAAAAATGTTCGTTGACAAGCTTTTTTCCCATGACTAAGTCGAATCAGAGCTTCGTTGTTACATTGATACATTTTCTGCCTGGTGTGTTTTGCTTATTTTAAGCAATCTGGCAACCATGCGCACGCGCTCGCTCCTCATTACGGAAGCGCCGCCGCAGATGATCTGAAAAACAAAACAAGCTGGAGTTTAGCGATCTAAATGAAAGCGTCATTCAGCCGGTCAGTGTTCTGTCATGAGATCTCACTATGTTGTTTGCGATTGTGATCGCTGAATAAATACACTTACTCAATCGCTGTTGTTTTAATAGAGAAATAGACTATTGCAATTATGGAATTAGTGGAATTACTAGGAATTTCACTTTGATTTATATAATAAAAAGCCTATAATAAATCAGTACACTAGATTAGAGGTAAAATAGCCTACACCATGTATGTGTCCACATTCTATTGATTTGTGCTTACTGGAGAAAGTGCAATACCTGAAATGCAAAAGTAAATTTCTCAAATGACAACAATGATTACGATTATAATTTTGAGAAATTATTATTTTTTTATCAGTTTAACCATTATACAGAATGACGAAAATGTGACTAATATTTCATTGACCAAAAAACCTGACTAAATGCTCATACATTTCATTGAATAAACAATAACAGGACAAGTTTGTCTAAATATGATAACTAAAATGTACATTTGAGTAAGACTAAGACTAAATTAAAAATGGCTGCCAAAATTAATACTGCTGTACAGTTAATTAATAATAATCTTATTGCTAAAATGTCAAGTTTTCATTGACTAAAACTAGACTAAAATGTTGAGAGTTTTAGTCGACTAAAACTAAATAGGTTAAGGTTGACTATGATAAAAACTAACAAGGACATTTTAGCCCGGGACTAAGACTAAAACTAAAATGAAAATAGCTGACGAAATTAACACTAAATGTTACAAAAGACTTCTATTTTAAATAAATACTTTTCTTTTTTTACTCTATTTATCAAAAATCTGAATGTCTCAGTTTCCACAAAAATATTAAGCAAAAAACCTTTTTCAACATTGATAATAATCAGAAATAATTTGCGAGCAGCAAAACAGCATAATAGAATGATTTCTGAAGGATCATATAAACTGCAGTAATGACTGCTGAAAATGTACTATGCGATCACAGCAATAAATTACATTTTAAAACATTAAAATAGAAAACAATTATTTTAAATTGTAATAATATTTCACAATATACCTATTTTTACTGTATTTTTAAGAAAATAAATGCAGCCTTGGTGAGCATAAGAAGCTTCTTTGAAAAACATTTAAAAAAAAAAAATCTTACCAACCCTGAACTTTTGAACAGTAGTGCACATAAAATTTTATTTAAAAAAAATATATATATAAATATTATATAGTTCATAGGTAGTTGTTAAGTTTAGGTATTGGGTAGGATTAAGGATGTAGAATATGGTCATGCAAAATATGTGCTTAATAAGTAATAATAAACAGCCAATATGCTAGTAATATGCATGCTAATAAACAACTAGTTAATAGTGAGAATTGGTCCCTAAACTAAAGTGTTACCTTATACATTAATAAGATTTACTCTACTATATGGTCAACAGAGTGCAGACGTGGACTAAAATCTTACCCAGTGGACTCGGATGGAGGGAGGGAGGGGCACATCTCTGACACGGGTGTCGTGCCCTCTGATGACGCCTCCTCATGGGTAATAGGGTAGTGCACTAGAAATTTTGATGCCAGCAGTAAACTGAACATCAAAATTATAAACAAAAATGATACCATCAGTACAAATAAATTATGCATAACCATCACTTACCCAAAGCACAAAACTGTCCATTTCTAATTGGACAAAATATACACAAAGATATGCAAAATATTTCAAATAGAATATGTGAGAAATAAACATTATTTTATTATTTAATTTAAACATTATTTGCATGCTTTATTTTACTGTGCATTATGCATGAAACAAGTTTCAGCCTTTTATGGATAATGCAGAAGTGAAAAATCTCCCATGATGACTCACTCCAGCTGATCGTAGTTGACACACATGAGCGGGACCTCTGTGCTGCAGCGCTGGTGGAACTTGTAGCCACACGTCTGGCAGCGGAAGCCCTGAAACAGCAGCTTCCGGCAAAAGTCACAGAAGGCCAGCGTGAAGAAGGTCTTTCGCACCTGTCGAGTCGCCGAATAACACTTAAGAGTCATTACAAAGAATCTGGATGCTTCCAAAAACACGGTCAACGTGGATGAGAAAGACCTCAACAAGTCTTCAACATGTCAAGGTGTATTTAAGAAGAGTAAAATCAAGAATAGAAATGACCACACCTTTGACATGTCAACTCTCGGCTCTAACTTCCTCCTTTTTGTCATTTCAGGTTTATTTTAAGCCAGTTTGTGGTCAGTTTCATCATACTCACAAAATTATGGGTCGTCAGTGGCACATTCTCTAAAACCTCAACATGGAGCTCCTCCCCCGTCAACCAGGAAATGTCTGTGTCCCAGCCAATGGGCTTCTTCTCCCTAATGTGGGCCGGACAGTCATTAAATGTGAAGTACAACTCACAGTGTGGCTTGGTTTAGCACTAATGATGTTAATATGTGCGTTCAGAATACAGTTCTTACCCATCCTGAACCCTGTAAACCGCACAGCATTCTGGGATCAGGCCTCGCATCATCAGAGCCTTCTTTAAGGAGTCTCTCACAGTCATCCCACAACGAGCTGGAACCTGAAACATGCACAAAAACCACTTAATCACATCACTTTCATCTCCTTACAGTGAGACTGGTTGCGTCTGGCCACGCTTGATTTCTTGGCTCCAGCTCATACTGCCGCTTCTCTTTGCTAAACCAACAGAGACAAGCGGAGCACATAATCAAAATAAAGGGGGTCACCTACATTTGCTCATTTCCCATGGAGTCCCGCCGCTCTACAATCTGGTTGGAGTGGAAATTCCTTCCAGAAGCCCTTTCTTTCTGAAGCCCTGCCTGAAACCTTACTGTGACGTAGGGCTGCACGATAAATCGAAATGGAATCGAGATCGCGATTCGACAGAAGCTGCGATTGTGTATCGTCAAAATATCCTACCATCTCCATTCATGACAAAACTTCTCAAATCCAGATGTGGGCAGATCATTACAGACATAAGGCTAGGCCTGTCACGATAACAACTTTTTGTTGTGCGATATATTGCCCCAGAAATAATTGCGATAAGTGATATTATTGTCATTTTAAAGACCATTTTATGCCACTGAATATATAATCATAACATAACAGCATAATAAAGCAAGAAAATATTAAATTTTTCAATATTAAAATATTCAATATTTCATCAAAATATTAGATACCTTAAAAAACCTGAATAAATAGTAAATAAACTTTTCTTACAAAATGTGCTAAAAGATCTAAGACTTTTTCAATGTACACAAAAGGCCTATTTCTAAAAAACCTGAATAAATAGTAAATAAACTTTTCTTACAAAAAGTGCAACGTAACAAGTAGAAAAAAAGAAATCACAAAGAATGTATGAAGATTTTTCCATTTACAGATTTTTCCATTTTGACCTCCTTTTCTCTGTAAATTAAGGGTGCACACTATTGCTGAAAAACACAATCCCTACTTAGCAGTCAGATGTCCGTATGCACAAAGGCACAGATCCCTAAACAAGACCATATCTTCAGATGAAACTTTTTTTGTAGAAGCATTTTTTTAATTTGAACTAGCACCTCATGACTACACCGCGTTATGTACGAGAAGCTGCAAAAGACACAGGCGCAAGTGGAATGTACAAAACATGGTGACATTAATTGTTAAGTAAATATAATGGGCGATATATTGCGTCACCAAAAATTATTGAGGTCTTGTACATATATTGCGCGATAAGTCGATATATTGATTATTGCGACAGGCCTACATAAGGCACCTCCTTTTTTCAGATCCCTTACCTAATGTTCTGTCATTAGGCCAGTATTATATTAGTAGTTTGCAGCATTTACATTATAGTGTTCAGTTATAATAATATTTTGAATTCTCTTTTATTTTATATTTTCAGTACCAAACAACAAGCAATCACTCACCACTGTCCTCTGTTTGTTGGGCAGGAAAACCCTTACTATGGGTTTCTGGGGTGAGCGGGGATTCCCTCGTGTTGCGTCTGTAGGGGTCTGCAGGACAGCTAAGGTGTTTGGGGTGGCGGGGGCGCTCTGGATGCCCGGCCCCTTCACATCCAGCAGGATGGGTGTGGGCGAGGAGCAAAACTCTGTTCCGTTCCCAATGGCCTCCAAAAGCTGCTGTTCCCGCTGCTGTAATGCATCCAGCTTACTAGTGTACTCTTCATAGGCCTGTGGCGTGGAGGAAATAAATCATTAATACTTTATGAACATGTTTCGCATAAATGCTCATGTTTTGAACCTGTTGAAGGATAAATATCTGGGGTTATGCATTAGCCGTTATATCATACACGAGGGGCAATGTTACTGCTAAAGTCTACAAACTAAAGGCATCATCAGTTCTTTTCCTCCTTTGAATTTATTCAGTTGTTTCAAACATTAGATAAATGATTTGCCAAAACCCCTAGATTCTAAATCCCTTGAAAAGCAGCATGTTAACTGACATGGAACCTTATAAGTGATCATAGCAGAGTTTTCCATTAGCACGTTGCTACCAAAAGTTAACTGCGACTATAGATGGTGTCAAATTCCAGTCACTTCATGTGTTATATTCTTCATATCATGTATCTTTCAAAATTAACTTTCTTGGTATAGTAAAACACCTTTACATTACTCTCATTTCACACCCATGACAGAAACTCTTTGTCGGGCCAACTCACCTCCAGGTATATAGATGGCGGATTGTGTTCTCCTCCAAACTTATCTAAAAGGGCTTCTAGGTGCTCTTGGGTTAACTTAATCATCTGTTTGATGTTCCATATCTGCAAGGAAAATTAGAGTTAGCAAGCCAGTTTTCCCAGCTCCCTTTCCTAGGTGATTCCTAGGTTCTCCTGTTTGAGCAGAGATCTTTGAACTTCACCATACATAAGTGAGGACCTCATGCTGTGCTAAATCTAATAAACAGAATCATTTGCTTGTCTTTACTAAGCTGTGAAAACTGACACTGACGGCTGTCTCTAGCCCTGCCCACAGAAACTGTGATATAGGCTAGTGATTAAATCTGAGGTGTGAAGTAATTATACAGAGTGAGCATTAGCAAAGAAACTGCTGCAAAATGCTTCAACTTTTTTTGTGTGTCACTAAATTCATAAAATGACAATCATCATCTTTAACAGTCAGCTCTGATATCCTAAATGTACATTTTATGCAACTTTGATGTACAAAAATCTGACGTTCACAACACTGACCCTTTAAACATATTAGAATATTTATCAGGAGATGATAGATCTCAATTTTTTAGTTGTTGAAGATTTTATACATTTCAATTACAGCACATTTTTAAAACCACTGAGGTCATGATTGTTGGCAACTGCAATTTAGGGGGGGAAAAGTACTATCACATTCAATATTACACTGAACAAAATTATAACCGCAACACTTTTGTTTTTGCCCCCATTTTTCATGAGCTGAACTCAAAGATCTAAGACTTTTTCTATGTACACAAAACGTTTCTCTCTTAATTTAAAGTGCTACAAAATCACAGCCAAGCATTTGCTCAAGGAAACATGCAAGCAATGCACTTGTTCCAAATAGCCAATAAACATTTTTCAATTTTGCCAAGCAATACAAGCAGCATCATAAAATACTCCAGTTTCACTGGAAAATGTCCCAGCCAAGTAAACACAATCTGACAGTGCTACAAAGCTTTACAAGTAAACTTTATTATGATCACCGTTTGGAGAAACAATTTTCCAGCAGACTGTAAAGAAACTTGGAATGCCTCTACGCCCCCATGAAATAGCACATTTAAGTGCATCTAACTTTAGTTCGGATTTTAAAAATCCTGCATTCCGAGAGTCAAGCTGCCACTTGATTCTGAATCAACGGTGCAGATAAACTGGCTCTACTAGTCAAATTAGTGCGACAAAAGGCTAAAAGGCACCAGTGACAAGGGACTTTCTCAGTAGTCTTGCCAGTATAAACTCCTGACAGACAAAGACTGCTGACAGTTTCTTAAACAGACATTTGTTACGAGCCTTTCTTTTAAAGCAAACCCCATGTGGTAATAGACTGCGTGTTTCTAACATGATGCAACATAACCGAGACCGTTTAAAATATCTCAATACATGTGAAATACTTGCAGCCATCTATAACTTCTACAAAGAGGCCCAACAATGAAAATTCTGTCATAATTTTCTCATCCTCATGCTATTCCAAACCTGTATGACTTTCTTTTTTATATAGAACACAGAAGCAGAAGAACATATTTTGAATATTTTGAAGAATATACTGGGTATTTTTTTTCCTAAAACAAAAAACAAAAAAAAGGAACCGGAACTTTTACACTTGAAAAATTATGCAAACACCAAAAAAGTAGTCCATATGACTTCTGAAGCCATATGATAGCACTGCATAAAGAACAGAGTGAAAATAAAGTTGTTATCGACAGAAATTATTTGTTTGAATGATCTGTTAATGGATTGGATTGAACTGATTCTCAAGTTCAATTCGATCTAGTTGTGACAGTTAATAGCCCATTGGAATAAAATATATCATATATGATACTTTTGAATCTCTTTTCAACCATAAAAGCTCCAGTGTAATTTGTATCAAAACAAAAGATCATTACATTCTTCAAAATTGATCTTATCTTAAATGTATCTATACAATTCATACAGTTGTAGAACTACATATTGAGAAATTTATGATAGAATTTTAATTTTGGGTGAACTGTTCCTTCAGTATTCATGTCAATAATGCAGTAATGTGAAAACTCAATACAGCAAATATGTAACCAATCATTCAAGATTCTGGGTCAACGTAAAAGTTTAACAATCTCCCATTGCAAAACCCATCAAACTAATCTTTATTGGGAAGATATGTTCAAGACCCTTCATAGTCTTTGGTGGTTAGTTATAGCCCTGACTATCAATAAAACTGCTAAGTTCATGGACTGTTCACTCAGATAAAACCATGCGCCATTCTTTAACAATACCGCATTTTTCACTTCAAGTTTGACTAAAAAAGGTAATAAACTAAATGTAAAAATGCTATTTTAAAAAGAAGCTAGACGAGTCCTGTGTATAATCGCACAGTATAACCCTGTAACAGCAGCCAGCAGTAAAATTAATCCAATTATCACTAAGCACTCCTACAATGATAACTTACACAAGCTGCTCATTAATCCAACTAGTCTACCAGCAAAATAGGTAAGCTGTTTCCTGAATAACCAGGTTTGTATGATGGTGTAAACTTTCTTTGGGATCATTGTAGCTGGTTTCAAGCTTGTAGAGCATCAACTAACCAGCTGGTAATAGCTGGTTTCTGGAACAAGCTGATCATTAGCTGGTCAAACAGGTTCCAAAACACAGCTACTAACTTAAACTGGATGTTTCTGCAGTGTGCAGAATGTACCCACGAAATACCCCAGTGTGTTCATGGAACATAGCAGCAGCATAGGTGATTTGTGCAGACAGTCAGCTGACAGCTTACAAGAAGGATGCACAATGCAATAAATTTGCACGAGATCAAAAATAAATGTAGAACGTTCGCAGGGCCCAGTGCACGAGCACAATGGCATCACTGCAGATTTAAATGTAAATGCATTCGAACGCAGATTTGCGCCAGCTGCTGACACAAAGGACATAAAACAATGCAGGCGAGCCGCTAATATTCCCCGTTGCATCTGTAGTTTCCCATTAATAAGATGCATCGCAAGGTGAAATATGTAGCATGCATGCTATGCAGCGGGGTCGGGAGGGGGGACATAAAAAAAAAATGAAACACGAACAGGCCTGATAAACATTGGCTCAGAGAACTGCAATGAGAGAATTATAAATGGCATAAAAGTGGTCAATGTCCTGACTGTGAGGCTCTAGGTGTTCAACTGTTACACGGAATTGTTCATTTTTAAATGCTGCAGATGTTTTTATGACCATAGTTTTGTCCAAATATAGTTTATACTGAATTTAATGTTATTTTTCATCTCTAAAAATGAAAAATAATCAGTAGTGTAAAGCCCCCAATAAGTTAGACAATCCTGCAGAATAGACCATAGAATAGGAACTCAATCTGGTGTACAAGAAATTGATGACCCTGTTACGCCTGTTATTGGAACAGTTTTAAGGTGCCTTTTTATCATCTTTATCATATTAGGGAAAAAATTAGCGGATATGGGCTTTAGAGAATGGCATGTCACCCACAATCAAAATTATTGCTACACAAAATGCATCATTTCTAACATGATCCTGACTGACATATTTCCATTATGAGTCCATTACAGTATGTGGTGTATTGATTTGTTGGCACAAATGCCCAAGCTTTGGCCTTTCTTTCTTTATAACAGCCCATGACATTTTGTCTTTTCATGATGGTAGACCCTTAAAGGAGTGTTAACATGTGTCTGTAACAAAACACCCTTGAGGCTTGTGCACGGTTTATGGGCTCTTTCACTGTATTCTTAGGAAAACAAACGTAAGAGGTGTTGGTGAGGTATTCTGAGGAGTCCCAGCATTGTAAACCGGCAAAACTCTGCAGAAAAGCATAATGAAGAACCATGTCAATTTTGTTTTTTCAAAAAAAAAAAAAAAAAAAATAGGGTATTGCTAAATGAAGATTTCCATCACAGACACCAAAAGCGATTTTAGCATTTGTGTTTTTCTTTCACCATCATCTCTGCTAATAGAACATATCACCACAGTCATAAACATGTCCTCTTGTCCATACAGATACAACTCATATACAGAGTTTCTTCATCGTATTCTCCGTTCATAATGTCCGTTCATAAACAGCTGAAATGCGCTGGTCTACTTCTTCTTTGTGGCTCTCTTCCCTTCTCCCTTCTTTGGTTTTCCTTTACCCCGCAGTTTCCTCAATCGTCTCATTTCCTCCTTGAAATCCTGGTGCTCATCCCTAAAACAATGCCAAAAAAGTGTCAGCTACAAAACAAGAATTTGAAGAAAAAATGTCCATAGGTTCATTATGAAAGAGCTTACCTGAAAAGTCCCATGAATCTGAGCTTCTGGGTCATTGAATAGTAGATCTTGTGTGGGGGGTACCAGTCATACACTTCTTTTCTCTGGGCCAGCGGGGGTTCTTTAAACAACTCTACCACTTTCATAGATTTGGAGTCTGTGTGACGGGCCACATCCCCAAATATTCGGGCGCTCAGACGGGCCATGCGCAGGGCATAGCTGGACAGACCAGCCATCTTCACCTAACAGAGTACACAGATAAATGCATTAGTTAAATGTCTCGTGCATTCATTTCCATAAATGCTTTAATGAAATAATATTATATAAATACATTTTAACTCTATATCTTTCAAACACAGTTGTGCATTTTATTAAAGAGTCTGCAGTTGCTGTGTATATATAACGTTACCTGGCGGATAAAATATCCAAAAATAGTCTTCTTACCCTTTCAAATATCCCGAAAGAAGCAGCCGAGGTCCAAAAATATATGCTTTATTATAAAGGCATGTGAACAGACATCAAGTACTGAAAAAATATATTCAGTAACTAGTTTGAGTATTCGTTCATGGTTAGTTGACAGTTCAACCTTCGTCCGTTCAGGTTCAAACACATTGGAGAGCGTGAATAACACGCATGCGCGTAGCAGGTAAAGCGCTTCCCCTATCCGTCTCTCAGGTCCTTAAAATGTGTGTAACATGTGGTTTAACAGCTTCAGCACTATGCGTTTTACACACTTCAAATTTCCCCAAGTTAAATAATATACTAGCCAACGAGAAGAGCCATCTATTATAATATGACTTATTGATGTTACAGATTTCTTTCTTTATTTGTGAACACTACTGCTTAAAGGACCTGGTCATAGAGGACAGTTCGTTACAAGATAAAAACGATTTCGTGCAGTCGGTCAGTAATTCGCGACTTAAGCTTTAAAGAGCTAAATATTAAATTTCATTAATTATAAATACCTTTTTAGCTTGATTTGTGGAGCCTCTTTACTGTGGAAAAGGTCTTGTACTTCACAGGAAGTCGTACGCCGGTGTGATCATTCCGTATGCGAATATCTGCCAAGATAAGAGTTCTGTCTAGGTACATTCTACATAATCATCACAGTTCTGTGTGTACTGTAATGATTTAATCATTAAAAAAACTTTGCTTTATATTTATTTAAATGTAACTTCAAGATAAACACAGTTAAATGTGCTAACAACTACCTAAAAACATTACCATTATGTGAAGTATTGAGTGTGGGATTATTGGATAAATAAAAAATAATAATAAAAAAACGTCTTCTGCGCCATATTCTTCTTCTTCTTTGTATTATTCATACGCATATTCTTATTATTATTACCCAAACCAGTTTATAAGGGCTGCGTGACTAGATTTGCTCTCATATCCTTGTTCACTAGATGGCGATATGCATTAAAGAAAGAAAAAAAAAGGTAGACACACGTAGACCATGATAAAAATGAATTGATGGACAGCTCGGATTAGCATGACAATCACGTTTTCCCTTTCCTTCCAGAGAATGTATCTATTAACACAATTCTAGGGACAAAAAAAAAGGAACAAGATAACACATCCTCAAATAGCACACGACAAATTGCCTTGTGTGTATCGGCTGCATTTTTTAGATTACATTGTTCAGTTTTCACTGTCAGCTGCAAATAAGTTCCAAACAAACTTTGCCTCCCTTTAAAATGTAATTAAAATGTAGCTGTCAAGCTGTCATTCATACTCTCCTAGTGACAATTACAGTCCAACAAAATTAAATAAAGAAAAGACATCTCCGAATATGAGTCAATCCAGCGCACCCAAATCAATATTATACAGTTTCAGACCCATTTTGTAAATTGTCACATTCAGTATTTCAGTCTGTCAACAGTAGCTATAGCATAAAACGTGACAAAGATCCCCTTAAATAATTTCCCTCAATTTTGTTCACTTAAAGAGTAGAAGGACAAATTCCTGACATCATTTTCACTCAGATGCTGACTTTTAAATGCAAAACGTCTTAAATATTGTTTCAAATATAATCATTTGTCACCCTGCAGTGCAAATAATGCTGCATTCTCTATTGTTTATTGAATTTTTCTTATTTAGTAAGAAAACACTAACCATGTGAACAGTGTGTCTGGTAAACAGGTAAAAGCATGAACATATATATATATATATATATATATACACACACACACACATAATTTAATAAATGGCCTGCTAATTGTTGATGTTTCATGACTGAACTGAATCTTTACTAATGTGGAGCCTCATATATCAATCTCGTACACATACATACACCTACATACAAATATGTGAAGTATGGATTTTGGTTCATCGTGTGACTTTCTCATCACCACCTGCATTTGGTGGTTATCAGTGTATTACAAAGGTACAAAACAGATTTTAGTACTTCAATAGGTTGGTATATAATACAATTTTATCAGTTAATGAAATTACGGTATTTAACTGTAAATTTAAGTTAAAACCGTAAAACCTAAAACGTTGCTACCGTATTTTTTACGGTAAAATTCCGGCAACCACAGCTGCCGGTTTTCTACTGTAAATTTTACGGATTTTTTTTACAGTGTACACGAGAGTCCCTACATTATCTGTAGGCTGTGTGGGCAGCCCAGTAAAACAGAAAACGTTACAATGGCAGACAGATGCCACTGCTCTCATTCATTATTCAGCAATATACCTGACTGCTGTTGGTTCTGGACAGAGCATAGTGGTTTCAAATATCAAACCTTTATGAGTAAGAAGGGTTTTTGAGTCTGGTGTAGTATCATTTTATAGCTCTGATAATGCAGAATGGCAAAATGAAAGATTCTGAAAGCTTTGATTATTTATTCATGAAAGACACCGGTTTTCTTCAGTATGTGTAAATCTAAGAGAGAATGCCAGCAAGGCAACTCCAGTTACAGTTCGACACGGAACCAAGAACAGTAGTGCGACTCCTTTAAGAAGCCGCTTTAATAAACAATGAACATCTCATATTGACAGCATGACATCACCGCTGTTTTTCCCAGACAGAGGCAACATGCACGGAGGATGTTGGGACCTTATTGTCCGAGGAGGAGGATGCACCATTCGCCAAATGTTCTAATATCGATACACTCATTTAAACGCGAGTCGTTTGAGATGCGGCGTCGTTGAACGGTTTGATATTTCCAGCACTGACCATTTATAAATGTGTGTCGCTATTAAATAGGAATATTTGGCAGTGCATGTCCTGTATAGCGTATCGTATAGTGACTGCAAACGCAAAATGGGCAGTAGGTGCATTATTGGAGTGGAGTGAACCCGTTTTATCGGCTTTAATTGGGGTGAGTGCAGAATTTAATTTACTTTATCAGTCCTAGAAACGGGGCCCGTGGGTTTTCCAATAATGGATGCTATAAGAGCATAGCTGTACCTTATTATTTTAAACATTCCTTCACAGGAATTATTTACTATTTTTGATCGTAGCCTATAGTGCGATTTAAATTACGCTTAATGTCGAGTTTTCTTAATACATTTTCTCAACAGACAGCAATTTGATAAATGTTCAAGCAACCTCTAAAGAGAATGTATGAGAAAATAAACCTGACTGCGACGGTGCATTTCTATATGTAACATAAACCTGAAAGCAAAAATCTATAGTCTGCATGCGGCAGGCTAAATGTGATGGAAAGGGTTGGGAACCGAAAACCGGTTCTTATTCAATACCAGAACCGAGTCATTTTAATAAATTTCGGTTCTGTTTAGGGTTCTTCAGTAACGTCATTAAAATTGGGTCATTAATTATTCTTCCGCCAATGCGAGGAGAAATAAAAATACTCTGGCAGACAGTTTCCTGCATTACTTTCTCTATAATTGATTTTTATAGGTAGCCTATTTTTAGAGGGTTGTCTTGAGCAACACAGATTGTCATTTAACTATCGTCAATTACACAACAGACGTATTTTGTGCTATTTATTTGTGGTGTGAATTTATAATGCCTATAAATAGGCCTACTGGCCCACACACATTTTCTGACTTCCTTTAGGGCTCCAAATCCTAAAATCCCCCATGAATCGCGTCCTGATTTTACAGCATGATAGATGTTAGAAATCTTTAAATAACGCAATACCGGGGTATTTTGTAAAACTGTTTGGACTGAAACCCCTTGATTCGAAGCTCAATTAGAGGGTGTTGTATCAGCTTTATTTAAAAAATGGTTGAAAAATCTTCTCTCTTTTTTTGAAAGGCTTGGTTCGCGTGAACGAGGACTGGACAGAATCGTCTCGTCTGGTTTCATTCACTGGAATTGGATGGGAAGGGTAACGGATGGACGTTAAATAAGGCTTATATTTTCGGCTGGGCTTCAGCTCGAGCTCTCCAAAACAAATTCCACTGCATCGACTGACGTCCGTTCTCTCTGTCCGCGTGCCCGGCGGGATGCGGGTGCACGTCAAGGAGCTCTCCAAGCTGTTGTGGTGCTGACGCGGCTCTGAGCGAACGCGAGCATGGCTGCTGGGAAGTTGCTGCTCTACGCCGGTCTGTCTCTGTCCCTCTGCGCGCTCGGGATGCTGGCCGTGGCTATCTGCTCCGACCACTGGTACGAGACGGACGCCCGGAGGTACCGAGAGCGGTGCCGAAGTTTCTCCAGTCGCCGGAAGGACCCGGGCTTTATTTACATCCCCAACAACAGCCTCCCTCTGCGGGCGAGCCGCTCGCGCCTGGACCGCTGGGAGGAAAACCTGCTGCTGGCGCGGAACAGAAGGCAGCTGTTCGCGATGAGCGCCGCCGATGAGTGCAGCAGGCTGTATAACTCCACCAACATGGGCCTGTGGAGCAAATGCCATCGGCTTGGATTTGATCAAGATATCGAGGACCTCATTCGAAAAGGTAGGACAGTGATGTGCTGTGTCTACAAGTGTGCAACGCAGATTATGTTGCTTGCAAGGCAGAAGAGTATTGGTATTCCTCAAACATCTGGTACAGGTTTGCCACATAAACCTGGTATGCAGGCAGCAAACATTTCTTGCGATTTCAGTTAATTGTATAAATTAATAATTCCATTTCAAGTTTAATTTAATGTTAGTTAAAATAAATAAAAATTAAATTCAAAGATTAGAACCAACTGCAGTTGCATTTTCAGGATTAACAGCATATGAGTTTGGGCAGCTGCAGTTCAGGAGAAAGTCTGTGGAAGAGCATTACTGTAGCTCAGTCAGTAATGCAAGGTTCTAGAAATGCCAGAATCATGGGTTCAATCTCAGGTCATGCATGAACACGACGGAAAATGTATAGGCTACGTAAATGCAATGCAAGTTGCTTTGGATAAAAGTATATTTGAACAAAAGAGTCCTTGAGCAGGAATCTTCTCCTGATGTGCTTATACTGTTGAGGTCAATTTCAGACAGATCATACACTGCTCTCAGTTCAGTTCAAAAGCATTAAAGCCAAATTAAGCTAATTAAGCTGGTTGAGCCTGGTTGTTAATTTTTTACATTCTAAAGCCAGAGTCAGTATGATGACAGCATTTTCATCTTTAGGTTAAGTATGCCTTTGAATATGACCCAACCAAAATGAAGAATCATGACAATGTTGCTGACAATGGGCACACCATCAGGTTATTTGAATGCATTTGTGAGAGCGTGATTGCGTGTTAATTAGTCCGACCTGTCTGTGCAATGTCTACTAATAGTGAAACTGTGGGTTTTAATTACTTCAAAAACAAAAAGAACTATATGCTACTGATAAATCACAGGACAGCGTTGATATTTTCTGCGCTACTGAATGTTTCTGTGTGCGTGCGATCTGTAGGCCTACGTGATGTGCGAGCAACTGCATGTGTGTCCAAATTCTACAGTCACTGTAGGTAGCACCTTAATTAAAAGAGCTATTAACCACATGTACATTAAACAAATTTGAGATACAATTTTTAAAATCTGCCACTGATGTACACAGAGTGAATCACATATATTTGAATATTCAGCATTCAAAATGCAACAGAAGCGATGGTGTCATTGTAATATTTGCATACTGAATTGTGTTCGGTCTTGTCATTCTCAGATCTTTTGAACCATATATAGCCAACAAATATAAACTGGCAGCCTGAAAGTCTGAAACCTTACCACTATTCTTTTGCTACCCTGCAAGCACTTGCCTTACTACAAGTATTACCTTCAGGAACAGCAAATCCAGTGCAATATTGCAGTGCAATATTTAGTAAACCACTTTTTCATCCATAAACTCCAGACATATACAAACTAACATCAGCCTTCACAATAAGTTCACCACTCATGTGTTAGCTGGAGTGACGGGTCGAAGCCCTATAGCTAGTGCACTCTGGGCCTTATTATCTTCCACCAAACTAGGTTAATTTACTCCTCACTGGTTAGAGGCATATGCGATGAATATATTAATAACTACACACACACACACACACACACACACACACACACAAGGATGTCTGTAAATAGATCCTGAGCCCCAAACTGTGCTAGCCCAAACACCGTAGGCTGTGTTTCAGTCAAGGTACACCAAAACAATTGGCCCAGAGTTGCTGAGTCTCGCACACTCTCCGGTTACACGCGAAACCTCTGTCTGCAAATGTGTGCATGTTCTGGAAAAGCAGCAGCACAAAACGCCCTCTAAAATAAAAACAAGCTTATTTGAATCGTGTCACCTCCTCTGGTACCTGTGCCTAATGTGTGTGCGATTACGTAAGAGGGATTTTGTGGTGAAGAGGTGCCCCTGTAGTGCTGTGTGTTGGATGAATGTGTGCAGTACCAGCCGATTGTGTGTTGCAGCATCAGCAAAAGCTCATTTAACTCTCTGGGGCACCTGCCAGCCACATACTGCGTGCTGATTTGGGATGGGGGTTGCATTGATAGAATAATGCAGTGTTATTCTACACCATCTCTGCCATTCACCTTGGGCGAGGGGTGATGATGCAAGTCACAGTTTGCCTGTGTGTTTGAGATATAATTAAAAGTAAAGAACAATTTGTTATTAGCCAACTGTTGTAAACCTGTATTGCTCAGATAAACAGCTGTTTCTCTGCACATGCTTTATTTGGTAAATATTAGTCAATAGTCATGCATCTTTATAAATAAATGTGTGAATGCTACCGTTACATATCTTGTTTATGATTATTCATATCATTATCTGGGTTGCAAGCGCATCATTTTATGAAATGTGCTGACTGTGCTTATAATGGCATCGGCCATCTCTCAGTGGAAGCTTATTCTCTGTCTCTACCCAGGATCCTCTCTTGGGAAAGAGAGCGGGAGGAATAGAATGATGTATGAGAGAGCAAAAGAGTCGTGCACAGATAAGGGGTTAACACTTAAGGGCTTAAAGATGGGAAAAGTCATTAATTGTAAATGAAACATGCTCCATTTAATCTCACTATTGTATGTTTTGGAATGTTTTGCTTAATGAGCAAAGATAACTATAAGTAAGCCATTTGAATGATGACTCTACAGAGTTAATTTTTAAAGGTTTTTTAAAAATGAAAAAAAATCATTTAAAGGGGTCATATGATGTTGCTAAAAAGAACATTATTTTGTGTATTTGGTGTAATGCAATGTGTTTATGCAGTTTAAGGTTCAAAAAACATTATTTTCCACATACTGTACATTATTGTTGCTCCTCTATGCCCCGCCTTTCTGAAACGCGTCGATTTTTACAAAGCTCATCGGTCTGAAAAGCGAGGTGTGCTCTGATTGGCCAGCTATCCAGTGCGTTGTGATTGGCCGAATGCCTCAAGCGTGTGACGGAATTGTTACGCCCCTTAACATACTGTGATGCCGTGTCCCGGCGCGACGAGACAAAAACATTAAAACCCATTATAAATGAGGCATTTGTTGCATCCAGTGGGGACATAATTACGCATTATAAAAATGACTTATACTGTCTTTTTACGCATTGCGTTGCATCGTGCCGTGTAAACATAAAACCATGTCTGCATTTGTGATCAGAGAAACGACAAACAACTAGCACTGCTCTACACTGCTCAAAACTCGCGTTTGAATAATAAGTGGCAAATTCTTTAAATATGAAAATGTACTTACAGGCTGTGAGTCAGAAGCGCCGGCATTGTAGGTTCAGGAAACAACTGCCCAACTTTATAGAAACAGCCTTTGTGCCACAGATGCATTGTAGGCTACTGGTTCAGGAAACAGTCCTCATCCTCCATAAAATGCGCTGGACACATCTGCATATTTGGGGTGAACTGTTCTGGAACAGTGTTGTAAATACAACTTAACCACTGATTTCTAGTCGTGCCCTCTTGTTTGAGACTTTAGTCTTTGCAACTTCAGGGATCTTATCTATTCACGAACAGCTTGTAACACTCCAAAGAGAAAGGAAAACTTGAAATCGCATCATATGACCCCTTTAACAATTTTAATTTTAAAAAACTGTTCCCAAAAATATGACAAGAAATTATAAAACAAAAATATAAATAAATAATCATACAAAATATAAGTCAGTTTGTGAATCTTTCCATAACAATGCACTAAAATACATACAACTAATTAATGTTTTAAAAACCGTTTTCACATGTATTGTTACATGTTGAAATTAATACAGCAAATTATTGAATACTTGATGAACTAAAATATTTTTGTTGACTGAAATTAGATTTTAGTGTAAAACTGTGACTTAAAATTAGTTGTAATAAATACATATTTTAAATATTTTGATCAGTTTACATTTTCATCAACGAAAATGTCATTTCTGTTGACTGAAATTAGATCAGATTTAATAAAAGTGACTAAAATGAATGGATATGACATGCAGAATTAAGGATATTTTCTTCAATAGACAAAACTAAAACCAAAAATTGTGTAAAAATAAAAACAAAATAAAAAAAAATTGGAGAAAAATGCCTAGCAGTCCTATTCACACAGCAGCTCAATAGCAGTTGCACGGTTGTTGCAGGACCTCTGGAAATGTGCGATTTGTGCTGATTGGTGCCAAAATGAGTTCAACTTTAAGAGTTGATTAGCACCATGCTAGCATATCCCTTTTAGTGATAGCATTCTTGAAAGTTCCACATTATAGCAACATATTGCAGCACAGAGGAAATGATTTATGTTTATAGTTTGCAGAAAGATAAATATCTGCGCAACGAAAAGGGTGACCAGAAATAGGAAATTATGCGAATGATGGCGGCATCTGGAATTTGTGGAAAATTGAGAAAGTCTATCTGAGTGAGAGTGTGAGAGGAGGGTGAGATCATGCAGAAACAGCCAACCCATCTCATTGTCCACCATCTGTCCCTGCCTCCCAGCGGGACACCCATCAGGGATGATGAAGACATTTTAGACCTAGAACACAATAAAAGCGACAAGAGAGATACTCAACCCCTCACCATTAAAACAGACAAACCTAACGTTAAGAGGTTACTGTGGCCTTGGGGATGCGAGGGAGACAAAGAGAGCGAATACAGATGGACAGTGAGAGAAACCACAACATATATGCAGTTTACATCAAGGACAAGTTTCAGTGTGAGATTTAGATCTCAATTGTGCATATTCGATATTATTACCTTATTACAAGAAGGGCCCTCCAAATCTATTCTTGGTTAGCAGGCGAGAGCGAAGACAAGGATTGGATTGTACTTGAGATCTCAAAGGATCTGGCTTCCTTGTTTTCAGTGTTTAAATTGGATGCCATGGGAGGAAGACGCCACACCTTCATGGTTCAAAAAGTAAGTCGCACTGGGACTCGGGTGCTGGCGCTAATCAAATACACAGGTGTTGAGGTGGGATGCTGGGTACATCTCTTGGGAACAAGGAATAGACTGTGCAGTAGAGATTTTATTGCTTTGCATTTCCTCTGACAATGATTTTATTCCAAGGCATATTATATCACAGAAATTGGGTGTGACT